ACGCTCGACTTCAGGAAACCGAAAAGAGAAACACATCAAAGACAATAAATGCTCAGGCTTACCAGTCGAGATGCTGCTTCTGAAGGTCATCAAGCGTTCCAGAATCACTTGAGACTTTTCAACCCTCTTACGCCTCAAGCAAGGGCAAGTGAGTAAGCTCTTTTTTGAAAACTATGCCATCGGAAATCGGATTTCCAATGACTTTGACAAGCGGTGCATTTGTCAATAAAAAGCGCAAAAAACAAACCAGCCATGAATTACAGAACAATCTTGATAGCAGCTGTATTTCATTTTGTACACCAAGAAGAAAAAGACAGTTTAAAACATCACAAGATGACACAAAACTAGCTATCAGTAAGCAAGTTTCCAGACCCTGCATAAATTTTCCGCATGAACTCACCTGTCAAATTTTGACCAATCAGAAGATAAGAATCGGACGTAGAGCGTGATTAATGCGTGACAGTGAGAAAAGTCAAAGGCGATTGCCTTCCCTGCATGTAAATGTAGTAGCCGGTTGAATTTTCGCGTCTGAGGTCAGTTCGAAATCAACATTTTAAAAGTGCCGCTCATGAACACGACTTATTTCATATGCATTTTAAAGGAATTGAACTTGAGCCTGCGATCATTTGAAAAGTATCAACTTGTCAGCGGATACCTTCAAAAAAACACTCGAACTAGGTGGGTCAATACCTGAGCCCGCGATACGGTCAGGCGATACTGGTTAGCAGAAACAATATTTTGACAGCTGTCAATTAATCAAAACATGGATGTACAATATCAGGTTGCAGGCTCCCAAACTAGCAAGAAAGTGCGAGATTAAACGTTGGTATTCCTGTGGTGAGAACGGACGGAAGGTTGGGTAGTCGGTGCACGGTCACGTGATTGCCGAATTTTCTAGGATGGATAGATTTTCTAAGCTATGGGGCTTCGAATTGAGCCCATGATCAAATAAAATATCAGCGCAAAACTTTAAACACTACGTGACCTCAAAGGATAGAAAAATGAGCCCGCGATACACTCAGGTGATGATGGTCAGCGTCTACTCTAGTTTGACAGCTGCCAATTAACCTTCATTAGAATGGCGAATATTCGAGTGTGAGTAAGACATATCCGTCCGGCATGTAGTGGAAAATGCCAGATCGTGTACCTGAGCAAACCTGAGCCCACGTTATTAGTTTTTTGATAGTGGTCTGCACATGTCCCACTTTGACAGCTGTCAATTGACCTTAATTTGGCTTTCTAATATAACTTTAAACGACTGTCAGCCAACTGACAGCCTTGCCCGGCGTAGTTTCTTTTTTATGTTGAATTGGTAAGTGTGACATATTATATCAGCTTTTATTAAAAACTGAATCATTGGATAATGCAATTCTAGCATTTTGATTGGCTTAGCCGTTATGGTATATGAGCTATTATACCATGCTCCCCCCCCCCAACCCCCCCACAAAAAAAAGTGTTTGTTATCTGTATCGGTAGCCGTCTTCTTGTTTGTGTTTTCAATTTTCTGTTGGTTGATAAAATCGTCTACGGTCTTCTGATGATACCTGTTTCAATCTCTGTTCAAAAGTTTCCAGATCCTCAGGATAATAAAAGTCGTCGGAGAATGTTTGTCTTCTTCATCCATCATTGAAATCTGGGGAAAGTTCCAGTATTTTTAGCTTTTTCTGGTAGTTTCGCTGTAAGGAATGACAATATTTGGTATCGCTGTTTGGCTGCCAATTTTGAATTTGCCGGCTTTGCCTAAAAACAAAATACACGGCTTGGACCGTTTCTGTATTGCAAAATACCGACCGAGAAAGAATCAATCAGAGTGCACGGATGTGCCTCACACTGGCTTTGTCTTATAAAAATTAAAAACATTCTTTATAGCAATGCCCATGTCAGTATATTTGTAATTATTAATTAGATAACATAATTTTAAAGGTGGTCCTATACACAAGTCTTATTGGCTTCCTTGCGCTTCTTAGCCTCATAATTTCTAAAAAATATATACCTCTTATTAGCCGAGTTTTCGGTCCGTACAGTAAATTACGGACCGAGTTTTTTTTCCATCGATTTATGGCCCAAGCGCGAAGCGCGCGGGTCATAAATCGATGGAAAAAACGAGCCTAGCCTCGTTTTTCAGTCCGTACTGTAAATTACGGACCGAGTTTTTTTCTATCGATTTATGGCCCAAGCGCGAAGCGCGCGGCCATAAATCGATGGAAAAAACGAGGATCCGTAATTTACAGTACGGACTGAAAAAAACGAGGCTAGTAAGATGTTTATTATATGGCGTCTTCCTGTTTGGGGGACCGGAAACAAGTTCAGGACGCACGATTTGAGAGTCATTTGACAGGTGTCAAAAGAGAAAGTTTTTATTGGCGCACGAAAACAGTAGCACATAACAAAGGCTTTCCGAGAAAGTAAAAACAAATTCGCCATGTTAAAAAAGTTTATTCGGTCAAAACTAAGAGCACTGTAAATTTTAGCTCTTTAATGTAACGCTGGAGTATTTTGGAAACCGGACACTGTGTCTGTCTAGAAGTCTTTTCCATCTTTCCTCCGTTTGTCCTTGTGAAAAAACACTGCAAAAGGCAAAGAAGCTTTTCAAGGTAAGTTTGTTGTCATTGTCGAAGGATTCGCTCGTTAATTGTTTTTGGGAAAACCTCCCGTTCTGCCAGTTCATTCTCGTCTTCAATTGTGATCTGCGTTCAAATTTTCAAACACTGACTAGAATTCTCTTCCTCTGTAAGGTTACGATTCAGTTTCTACAACAGCTTCGTTCTCATTAAAACAAAGCTAGGTTAAAATTTGAATAGGCAAAGTCAGCATCCCAGTCCAAAGGGTTTACATACATATTTCAAAGTTTCTTCGGTGGAAACTAAGAGCACTGTAAGTATTCACTCGTTAATGTGACGCTGGAGTCTTTTGAAAACTGGACATTATTTTGTCTGGCTCGAACTGACTTCTATCTTTCTTTCGTTGGTCTTTGAAAAAACACTGCAAATGGCAAAGAAGCTTGTCAAGATGATCGGGTGCAGGTATGTTTGTTATCATATTTGTTGAAGGAATTGCTCATTTTCTCTTAGGCAAAACATCTCGAATCTCTGCCAGTCGATTTTCGTCAGCTTAACTGTGTACTACGATAAAATTTTCAAACACTGACTAGAATCCTCTTCGATAAGATTACGAGTTAGTTTCTTCATCGCCTTTGTTCACAAATAAACACAGTATAAAATGTTGAGGGCCAAAGCCAACATCCAAGTCCTCAAGGTTGACAGTCGTCTTATAACTTTATTTAAACATTTTTTCTGAGGTTAAGAGATTTAGACCTCCGAAATGAGCATTTTCTTTAAACATTTTGGTCCGTATAGCAAGTTACGAACCGCAAATTGACCAATGGCATGGCAAAAACAGACTCAGCCATATAATAAATATATATATTTTGTGTGTATGGCAAAATGATAAAACAATAAAACAATAAATATTTAAAGCTTACTATCTAAAAGGCCATATTTTTAGGTGAAATATTGAAAAAGGAACGACGATAACCGCATCTAGAAGAATTGGCAAATGCCCCACCCCAGGAAGGAGGTTTTCTGACAAATTCCCCACCGACGGGGCCGACAAGATGACAAATGCCTTGGGGGGTACCCTCTCTTGGAACTGACTGAACTATTAGGAAGAATTAATCCAAAACGGAAACAGATTCCAAGATAAAATAGACAGAACCTTGTAATCAAGAAAAACGAGCAAAAGACCTCATGTAAAAAGAACATAGGAAAAAGGGGCTTGAAATTAAGGTCTAGATATTTTTGTTGAACATCATTTGGTTCGCTCTTTACTTGAATTATGTGCTTTCAAGAGCCATAATGGGACATTATTGCTCTTGGTACTTTTTAACTACTATCATTTTTTTGGTACCTGGAAATTTAAAAAACGGATTTGATAATAGGTTCATGCAAGTTTTAACTTTCGACCCACTCCAGGGCACTTTCACTTTCATCATAATTTGACTTTACGCAGATAGTGCGCAATCAATATCTTAGTCTTTTGTTCTTCAAACAACATTTATTCTTTGTAAAAATATCTGTAAACCTCCCGCTGGCGTTTAACGTAAACAGGGGTTTTCAATGTTCTTTTTCATTGTGTCATCTTTGTGTCAGCAAAATTTCCGCTCAATTTCTTAATCCCTATCGTTCATATTTTCAGCATCCCGCCGCGTCCCGAGTACATATTCAATTTCAAATCTCGCCCATATTTTTTCTTTGTTATCCCTGGTCTTCAAACAAGGCAAATGCTATTGTCAACGGTCTCAATGTAACGTATACAAAAAGAATCCATTATCAATTCGTTCACCTTTCTAGCACACCGCGGTATGTTTCTTCGCATTTGGAAGACAGTATAGATTCTTTATCTGGTCTCATCTGTGCTTATCCCCATTTGGCCTCTCTTAGCGATTCTCCAGCCCTTCCCTCCCCTTTTTCATTGTCCCTTTTGCCGCCGGGAGCGTCCGTCATGGCTCCCATTCTCATTATAGAAGTGTAGGTGAGACCGTTGAGCTCTCTTTACTTGAATCTTTGAACTGGTCGGCGTCTAAATTTCCATGCATTTAAGGTGGTTCCGTGTGAACGGAATTTTCAACCGGTCGAAAATGTTTCCAGTGCCGTGTGAACATAGACCGCGAGCGGTCGTCCTTCTCTCCTCACGCGGCGAACGCTCCACTCCTCACACGTGCTCTTGATCTCCGTAACTCAAAAGAAAAATAAGACACTGCTCGCAATCTAGTGTAAACGTAGCGTTATTCATATAGGTAACTAAAAGAATGTTTTCTTTTTACTTAGGAAAGGGATATCAACAAGTTTATGGTTCTTGACTTTTTTTGATCACCATGAGTGAACAGAGTAAGTAAGAAAAATTCCTGAGAAAAATTGGTTATCGTTGTAGCTTGGAAAAGGGTGCCTTTGACTGTTTTTCCTGTCGCCGCTGGTGATCCTCATAGATTCTTCCTAACTTTTATGATTTTTTCTCCTGTAGTGATGGAAGAAGATGATGATTCAGATTTTAACGTGATAAAGCCAACCCTCTTGCAACAGTTGAAGACCATTCTTGATCAATACCCTGATGATGGGCAGATACTGAAGGTAAGACTTGTTTAAGTAAATACAGGCATCAAGGGGACATGTCATAGGAAGAATAAGGATGTAAATGCAAGTAAGGAAGTATGTCTGTTATTCGGAATACGGACGAAAAGCGAAGTTGCTGCCGATTTTTTTTCCGGTAAAGGTTCACATCGTCCCTTTTTATTGGTTTTGGTTTTTGGTTTTGTTTTGTTGTTTTCTCGTTGAGAGTGATAACAAAGCCAGGTTTGCAAAGTTGCAGTCGATATGTTTCCATGTCGTACTTTCCGACTATTTTCGCAGGATATGTTATGGTTGTGCATGGGTTCTATGCCGAATAACCTCAAAGCTATGTTTGCTATTTTGAGGCTGCAACACTTAATGGATAGAACCATCACCCAAGTTACATTTGCTCTAAGGCTGCGCACCATACAATCTTTGTATTTTACTAAAGCTAAGCTATTCATTGAAAAAGGTGTAGACATGTAGTTCGAGTTTGTTCGATCCCTGTCAAAGTAAAATATAGGGAACATAAAAAATTGTCTCATAAAAGTGATACTGTTTTTTTTCGTGTGAATGTTTGTTTTTTTTTATTTACTCAATTTAATTAAATTATTATTTATTAAATTTAATTTCACCATTGTTTAAGAACAGTATATGAAGTAAAAATGAAGGAAAAAACAAAATAATTTACAAGTACCTTGAACTAATTGCAGACAAAAGGGGAACCGGGAGAAGGAATGCCGAGAATATCGATGTTACAAAATGCCTTGTCACTAGCTGTGTGGAGTTTGAGACAATTAAGACTCAATTAAACCTTGTTTAATATGTTTTTAGTGAAAATTATTAGTAATAAAACTATTCTGTTGAGAAACCCAATAAATTGCAGTTCTCCGGTGAAACAATTTGCCTGACTGCTAATCAAAATACTGCTAGGATCCAAAGTTAATGTTATAAAGTGTGGCGTTCCATTTTACGTGCTGTACTGTAATTTAGTAGCTCAAAGTTAAACGAGCCAGTTATTTGATAAGTCAACAATGATTGTTTTAACAGGAGCTTATTCAAAACGCTGAAGATGCAGGTGCAACTGGAGTTAAGTTCCTTTATGACAAAAACAGCTACTCGGCAGAGAAACTCTATAACACAAGTCTGGCAAAGTTTCAAGTAAGTTTCACAATCATAATTTGACACTGGGTGTAAAATAAGGTTGCTCTAATCAGTTGTAACCTTGCGTGCTGGCAGAGGGTGTTGTAACCATCAAGGTTTCGTGATGAGAAAGAGAGAGTGGGAGTAACAGGTTAACATGGGAAAGGGGGTAGGGCGGTTTCGTTATCTATTATTTTTTGATGGTGGACAAAGGGCATATTATATACTATATTCCAAATGTTAGTTAATTTCTTTCCACCATGTCAATTGGCCCTCTTTCCAAATTGTTTTGAATTCTATGGATGCGATCGAGGCAAGGAGGGCTAACTAATATTTATAGAAACTTTTTATTTGAAAACAGGGTCCAGCGCTTTATGCCTATAACGATGCTCAGTTCACCAAAGACGATTGGGAAGGTATCAGGAAGATATATGACAGCAATAAAGTTAAAGATCCTATGAAAGTTGGTCGGTTTGGCCTGGGATTTAAGTCAGTATTTCACTTGACAGGTAGGCGAATCACGATTAAACCATGCGGAAAAACCGGGGACTGAGAACATCCTCCGTTCACAAGAGGATTACTGTTACGAGTATATAGGTCAATTCTTTGCTGAAAGCATGACTTAGTGCCTTAAACCATACACAAAATGCTCCTTTTGCGTTGCGAAGAAGATATCAAGCAAAATAAATGGAATCAGGGAGCACTTACCATAATATCTTCCTTTAGTTATTTTTGCAGTCATAGCATCAAAACTAGGCTGGCCCAACTTTTTCAAGTTTCAATCCACATGCATCCATCTTCGCAATTCTCTGTCATGGTTAGAAAAAAATTTTACACTTCACTTTTCCAATGGACAAGTGAGGTTCTAGTTGTACTTGTCCAAAGCTCAGGTCTAATTTCATTGCATGTCAAGTTAAATCAAATTAAAGTTCTAATGATGCATGGAACTCAGATAAAACATACAGCATTTTAAGTGTCAATAATATACTCATACAAGTAATTATATGCTTATATACTGTGTTTTCGTTTGCATCATGTACTACCCGGCAGGGGAAGGTTTCTTCCAAGAAACCTGAAACTTTCGAACTCATACCGTTGGGCTGTCACAACTATGTTTCTTCTCAATCACGCCAGTGTTTTCTCAGGAAGAATTTCCTTTCCTCTTCAGCTGCTTCACTGGTGCACCAAAATAGCCTGCACGAGCTAATGGTTACCAAGAGGGTCTATTATAAATGCAAAAGTCGATCCCCCAAGGGTACTAAGCCCCTTTCAGAGCGCAATGAACCAAAATGGCGGGTAGATCGTAAGTCACCTGCACCAGTGCTGCACTCTTGTGAAAACCTGGCTGTATACTTTACTGAAACTTGTTGAAAACACCGTGTAATTTAATTTTTATTTTTTAAGGAGGATGACCTACTTGTCCACTGATCAAAATCACTTGTCTTGGGCAAGAGGACCCCGTTTTTGTCGCACCCTGGGCTGTAACAGAATGCCTAAGTACAGTCCTAAATAACAAAACTGGACCATTTTTGTGGATTTCAATTGATGCGAAAAACGTTTTAGCTTTTTAAAAACGGATAGCAAATAGCGTGGCATAGACCTTTTCTAATTATAAGGGGCCATTTACTAAATGGTTTTACTGTAGCTGGGATAACACAAAATAACAAAAACAAACCAAAAAGCTCTACCAAATCCGGGTGTTAGATTATACAGCAATTCTTGTAGAAACTCAGAGAGGTTAAAGTTTGCAGTGTAAGGTTTTCAAATCTTGTCAGTTGCTCGTTTTCGTTGTTTTCTCCTAATGAAGTATAAATTAGTTTGAGCAATATTAGGCCAAGTGCTTTTGAGGTAACAGTATGGAAGTCATGATCACTTAAAGGTCTGTGTGATTCTACTTGCGCAATCAATCGTCGGCCACGCTTGTAAATTAGCCTCCTGGTTCGTCTCTTGTCAGTTCTGATTCTAAACCTTGTTATTGTACATTTAAAGTGCGTTTTTTTCGGAAGAATCCAGAAACGGATATGTGATCTCAGATCATATGGATTCTTCACGACCAAAAAAAGATCTAAAAACGGATCATTTACCGTGCTAACGGCATGTCCTCCTGCTTCTCGTGATGAGAAAAATAGAGGGAAAAAGCAAGAAACAATGTGGGCCTTTTTTTGATCCTCGCAGCGAAGAAAAGAAGGAAAAGCAAACTAAACTACGAATGAATGTGCGAAATGTATATATTTGGGTTTGAAACACAAACGTTTCTCGAATAGAATGCACCTTAGCCTGCGAACTGCAGACGCATCTCTGGTCGTCGCTTCTCTCCCTCCGAAAAATAACGTCTGCGAACACGAGCGACGAAACGATTTCCGTAACGTAGAAACTTTTGTTTTGATGTTCGCCAATCAGATCAAAGGTTAGAATACAGCTCGAGTGACTCATCGCGACCTCGCGCGCTGGCATGTCTTACGATTTGGAACGTGAATTTCACAACTATAACGACGTTTCCTGCGACGTTGAATGCTGACTTCTTTGTGAAGCAACGGCTTCTTAAGCTATGTATGTGTTGTGGGCCTTTGCTTTCGCTTTAAAAAATACGGTGGTACGTGACATAACAAAACGTGGACAAAATAACTCCCTACAGCGAAAGGAAAATAACATAGCTTAAGGTGGCTCGACTGGATTTTTTTAGGGGGATACCTCCCAAGTTTGAGCATTAACTACGTCGGCATGAGTAAAGATATGGATAAAAGGTTACGACAACTTTATTAAATAAAGATGAAAATTTCTTATCATCTGGTAGCCTGCGTAGCAAACGTTTCCAATCGAGTTATTGGGCGAAAGTTAGAGCGGAAGCAAAAAAAAGGTTGAAGGGGGAGGGGAAGGGGAGAAGAGGAAACGCTTGCCCGCAAACCCCACGATTCTGGAAAACGCCCCTTGATATTTCACGGTTCGGTTCATTTGTAAATTGACAGCTCGTCAAAATAGAAACATAACGAACAGATTACCCCTGGATTACCAGATTTGTAAAATTACCTTGTTGTCTAATAGAACACGTTGCAGGCGATTGCAAGAACTGTAATAAAAAAGATTTACGATAAAAGAAAGTTAAAACTATGAGCGATTGCTGCAGAATTTCTTGTTTTTTATTGTGTGGCTTTATCTCGTCTGAAACCTTGTCGACACGTCAAAAATGCCAAGTTTGTCCGGAACAATTCACTCCGCCGGGCACACGTTTTGCAGAGCGGCTGCTCCGTTCAGCCTGTGTCGAAACGTTCTCTACAATAGATGCCGCTAAATTTCCAATAAACAAAAGGAATCTTTTCATTTCAAAAAAGCTGACAAATCGCTTGTCCATGGCGGCTTTAGCTAGTGTCGAGTACCGATGTTCTGATTTATGTTGATGTTATCCCCAGCAAACAGTCCATTTTTGCCAGTCAGATCTGCACGCCGTCATTCTCAATAAATTGGCCTTCCCTAGTCTCCACTGCTCGATCTCCAATTATACTTTGAAGACTCTGATCTCATAAACCTTCGCACAAACACGATTCCAATAAATATCAGTCCAAAGCATTTGTAATCTGCGACCACAAATCAGGTGAGACCAGATCTGTGATGCAGCTTTTAATGGAATCAAACCACTATGAGATGAAGCCGCGTTCCCAAAGCTTATCATTTTCTTAAAATATTGGCGAATTGTGCGGCTAGCATGCTATTTCACTGTTTTTATGATTCTTAAAACTGCATTTCAGAATATTTCGAAAACGCTCTCAAAGAATTTCTTCAAACTTTGCCATAATGGAGGCAATTATGGTAGGTACATACTCCCTCAAGCGATTTCCTCAAAAAACTCCTGGTACAGAAAAACACAACGATAAATGAAAAACGGAATGACGTCATTACGTTGCCATGGCGACTCCAATTGGAATAAAACCCAGATCATTAGCCTGCGTAGCAAGCGTTTCCTCGCGAGGTTCGTCTAGAAAGCTGGGACAAGAGCAAAAAAAAACATAAATGAAGGGGGACGGGGAGGGGAACGAAGGAACCGCTTGCCCGCAAACCCCACGATTTTGAAAAACTGCGTTCGCCCACGAACGCAGCTTCTGATTTGCGCGATGCGGGTAGTGTTGATTACTTAGCATTCGAAACATCATACAAAAAAAGAGGGGAATTGCTCTGGGCGATCGCGAGTAACAAGGATTTTATTAACTTGCATTCAGATGCTTTTGATACAGTTTTTGGACGTAATTTGGTCCATGTCTAAAAATTTCGCATTCTTCCAAAAACCGCTTGATAAATGTCTTTATAAATTCGACAATTCCGAGATCAATCGTCAAGAAATATTCCCTGCAAGTTTTAAGAACATTGAAAACAGGGAAGGCTTTTAAATAGGGCCTCAAATGTGGCCAATTCCCCCCCCCAGATTTTGTGTTTACAAGCGAACGTCCTCATTATTCACTGGCATTGTTTTCAAGTTCCATATACACGTGCACATTTAACAAAAAGATAGAATTTGCATCAAAAAGGACCCTCGGTTAAATCTCCGGGATATGCTAATTACCGCGTAAAGAGATTAGTGATACATTATAACATCAGAGCAACTGTTTGTGAGAGTTTCTGTGATGTTATAACCCAAGTAAGATAATTAAGTATTGCATCCTACACGATGAGCCGTGACGTTCACCTTTTCGGCTCTCACTGCTATCTGTGACGACAAGCCAATTATTAGCATATTCCGAATATTTCTTTGTAAAGTAATCGAGAGTTCTTTTTGATGCAAATTTATATCTTTTGCTAGTTGTGCACGTGCATAAGAACTGGAAAACAATGCCAGGGAATAATGAGGTAGCTCACTTGTAAACACAAAATCTGGGGAGAAAATTGGTTATGTTTTAGGCCCTATTCAAAAGCCTTCCCTGTTTTCAATGTTCTTGAAACTTGCAGGGAATATTTCTTAACAACTGATCTCGGAATTGTCGAATTTATAAAAAAATTTATCGAGCGGTTTTTGGAAAAATGCGACATTTTTAGGCATGGACCAAATTACGTCCAAAAACTGTATCAAAAGCAGCTGAATGCAAGTTAATAAAATTCTTCTTACTCGCGATCGCCCAGAGCAATTCCCCTCTTTTTTTGTATGCAGTTTTCAATGGAATCAAACCACTATCAGATGAAGCCGCGATTCCAAAGCTTATCATTTTCTTGAAATATTAGCGAATTGTGCGGCTAGCATGCTATTTCACTGCTTTGATGATTCTTAAACCTGCATTTCAGAATATTTCGAAAACGCTCTCATAGAATTTCTTCAAACTTTGCCATAATGGAGGCAATTATGGCAGGTACATACTCCCTTAAGCGATTTCCTCAAAAAACTTCAGGTACAGAGAAACACAACGATAAATGAAAAACGTAATGGCGTCATTACGTTGCCATGGCGACTCCGATTGCAATAAAACCAAGATCATAAGAAATTTTCATCTGTATATAATAAAGTTGTGGTAACCTTTTTTCCATATCTTTACTCATGCCGACGTAGTTAATGCTCAAACTTGGGAGGTATCAACCCCAAAAAATCCAGTCGAGCCACCTTAATTACATCTCGCTAAGACCCGTGATTTATTTCCATTTAACCAGTGCTGACAAAAGGTGGTGAATCGATTGTACAGACACTTCCTTGAGTGATTCAGAAATCTCTGACAATCGCTCGTAAATAATTCAAAATCCTACAAGTCTCGCCACAAAACAATGTTCTGAAATATTATAAACCTGGGCCGGACCCAGCGTGAAATAAATATTTACAGCAGTAAATTGATCATAGTCAAGATGACATTTCTGCTAGGGTGCTTCGACTCCTCTTATAAAGAACTGGAAATAAAAACCTTGAAAAGAACATATATTTAAAGAAATATAAGAACAAATATAAAATGCTTTCGATCTGATCAATGTACATTCTGTCTGAACCAAGGAGCAACCAGGCATTGAAAATCATGCAATTACCACATGTCCTAGCTTTCAAAGATAAAGGATACTAAAAAATCATCTAAAGCGGCACACGACAAACTATGAAAGAGCTCTCCAAAGCATACTTTCCTGCGAGGAACCAGAAAGGAGCAGAAGCAACACACGGCATGCGTCTACTGTCATTAGGACATTTATCGTTTCGGATATGATCAAACAACAAGGTGTGATAAATCATTGACTCCGCAGGCAAATAGATGAAAAATTTCCCCAAATCTTTTCTTCAATTTGAATCCTCTTGGTGCTTATTTCATTAATCAGTCCCACGATCCGTAAACGCGTCGTTCTGAGGGAAAAAAAAATACGTCTGCGGTTCCCAGGCTAAAAAAAGGGCGGCTGTACACACGCTCAGTATGGCCTGCGAGAGCATCCGGTTTTTTCGGCTCTAGTTTGTTGGTTCCACAGAAGAATACACAGTAGACAAAGCCCGAAATACTACAGACTTTCCGAAACCAGTGGAAGATTGACGAAAACATCGCTCTTTGATTCAACAAGTCCCAAGGCTTCCTCTTGATGCTTGTTGAGTCTTTCAGACTCAAAAACTTCCCATTCTTTCCTCAACGCATATTCAGCCATATTTTCCCACGCGTTTGCGTAAGATCCACGCAAAAACTCGCGCGTTACTTCTTCGAATATGCAAGGTGAATTGTGATTGGTCACTAACAGCTGACGTCACGGAGATTTTTTCTCGGCTCGTTGTCGCAAAAAAAACTAAACTAAAAACTAAAGCTGAAATAACCGGATGCTCTCGCAGGCTAAGTGCACGTTAGGACAGTAAAATTATGAAAACGTTGTCACTGTAATTTTGTAATTTGACTTGTGAAATTATATACTTATTCTGAAATTTTGTGCCGAAATTAAGGAGTAATTTGTCACCCATGAACAGATATAAAGTATTCAATTTAATCCTTCGTTCATACGCTTTGCACGCATCTGTATGCTTATCAGCAACCTTCGGTCTTAACCAATTCAGAGAATATGGCTTTTTATTGATTAAGTCAGCAATTTAATGCCTTATGTCTAATATGTTCCATCGTCATAGATTTACCAAGCATCCTCAGCAACAGTCAAATTGGTTTTATCGACCCACACGAAATGCACTTTGGTGATTCCCGAACAGGATTCCTGTGGCGTTTAAAGAAACAAAAAGAAGAAATGGACCAAATTCCAGATCAGTTTCATCCTTTCAAAGGAGTATTCGACTGCGATGACGGCGTCTTTACACAAGGGTTTTACAACGGGACGTTGTTTCGTTTTCCCTTGAGGGACTTCGCCTCCAGCTTATCGGAGACATTGTATTCTGACGAAAAGATGCAGAGTTTATTTGGCAGTTTCATTGCTGACGCTCACCTCGTACTCCTGTTTCTGCGAAATCTGGAAAAAATTGAACTTTACATACGAGAGAAATTTGAGTCTGAACCAAAAATAATTTTTCATGCAAAGATCACCGAGGAAAGTCTGGAACTGGTTCGGAGCAAAAGGAAAGAGTTCCAAAACCAAATCGAACAAGGTAAACACATGCAAGAGCCTGTCGCCGTTACTTATCCAATCACAATCGAGACACAGACAGTTGGCGGCGTACGAAAACACTCCTTCCTCACCACCAACTACTGCTGCGGAGTTGACGTCTCACCTGATTTTGAAAAGCTCCTGACAGATAAAGAACTCAGCTATTTACCGTCCGTTGGTGTTGCTATGACACTACGAAGTGACGTGCTAGCCCCTCCCATTGAAGGCCATGTGTTTTGCGCTCTACCTTTGCCGGTACAAAAGAACAGCATGACAGGTTTGCCAGTTCATGTGAATGGATTCTTTGCATTAAACCAGAACCGACATTACATTAAAACGCCAAATGCAGATGAAGACGACCGGGATAAGCTTACGGACAAGAAACAGTTGCTGTGGAATCGATGTCTGATGGAGGAAGCGTTGCCAAAAGCTTACGTGATGATGATAACAGAAGCCATCAACACATTCAAAGTTCAGCCAAACGCAGTCTACAGGTAATTAATTAAGTTTTTCTAATTTTATTATCTGTAGCATAAAACGTCCCCGAATACAAGAGACCGGAAATGTCTTAAGTTTTAGTTTATTTGAAACGTTACTCTTGTCAAGCAAGACGGAATCCATTAGTAAATTGAGTACTTTTAATTTTCAGTGGACAAAAACCTTGCACCAGAATATTTTAAGCCATATCGCATTCTTTTTTACACTTTGCAAGGGCTATAGATGTACTTAGTTATCTGTAATAACACCAAAGACAATTTCTCACGGGAGCGCAAGAAAATAAATTTCAAATTTCACAGGAACTGAGAAAACACAGGTAAAATCGTCATGCGTATGATTTCATTCTGTGAAATTTGAGGGTTTTTTTATTTTTTATTTTTTTGGGCTCCAATAAGAACCTCTTCTTCGGAGTTATTTCACAAAACGTATTACATTTTTAGCCCTTGAAAAGTGTGAAAAAAATGCAATATGCTTGAAATTATTCTGGTACAAGGTTTTTGTCCACTGCAATTTTAAATTGCTCAATCTCGTAATGGATTTTGTCTTAATACGTTAACGTTGATACTGCTACTTGAGACACAAGACCCTTTAAGTCTGAGCAACTGAAAAAAACCCTGAGGGTTTCAGCCGATCAATCCGGACTGATCTGTTCTGTTTGTCTTTATACTCAGCTGCAAAGAAAAATTGATTATTTATTCTTTCACGGATAAACTACAACCTCTTTAAGAATTGTGGTGGGTAAATTAATCGGAAATTGACACTGATATTTCCTGATGAAATTCTTCTTTTTACAGAGCATGGCCAAATATATTCAAAATTGATCAAGCTTGGTTAAGCGTGCAAAAACCTTTCTTTGAGAAGCTGGTTCGTGAGAATGTGATTGCTACTCATTGCGGCAGGTGGTTGAAAGTTGAGGACGTTCTCTTTGACAGTCTTGATGATAGGGAGCCGAGAGATTTGCTTCTGAAAGCATTGATTGACGCCAATCAAAATGTCGCTAGCCTGCCCGAACATGTGTTGAAATCCATTAAACACTATAGACCGGCTATCACAGAGATCACTCCTTCATTAGTGAGGCACGTGTTTAAAGCCTCACCATCCTGTTACAGGTTTCTAAATCGGGAGGAGAAGTTGTTTCTTTTGAAATATGTCCTCGAATGTGAACAAAACAACTTTGTGGACCTGATTGGTTTGGAGCTTCTACCTACTGCCAGTGGGACCTTCATACCCTTTTCAGATTGCGGTGATAATGTTTACATCTGTACTTTAGAGCATCCACTGCAACTCCTACCGGGAATGAGAAATTGGTTGTTAGACCCAACAATTGACAAGAATCTTCAAGCAGATTTTGAGGAGATCGCAGGACAAGGTAAGTCAATAGAACGATCATCAAGCATCAAGGCCTGAAATAACTGGCCGGCACTCGCCGGATACCTTTTCCGGTCAAACGTATTTTTGTTCAACAGACATGACCGGTACTTGGCCGGTCAGATATTGTAAAGTAATAGTTTATCAGTAGAAACATTTGTTTACGAATGGACAGGAATGATATTTTAAGGAGAAGACTAAAATGATATTGAAAAACGAGCCTATGGAAAACGGTACGTTACCAGTACTTCTTACGTTCGAGTGTGGACTATGAATTTATGAAGAAGCCCTGAGGAGATAGGACTAATCAGGTACAACGAAATTAAAATAGAGACAAGGTAGAGTAAGGGTTCTTTTAAGATGGCTGAACGTAGTTTGGTAGATGGTGAGTAGTTATGAAATTCATTAGGGTGTTGTTTAAAACTTGTTGCCAGTATAAGATTTAAATTTGGCGCGGGCCAATATGAGAGATTACGTTCACTTGATTAGTTTTATGGTAAGATTTCGATCATTGCCATGGATGATTTATAACAAACCACAGATTTTGAATTAAAGTGGGTATACGCAAAATCCTGTCATAAGATTTCGCTAGGAAAGCTTCGAGGCTTCTTCAGTATTTTTCTTTAGATCATGTGAGACTTGTTATTTCAAACAAATTTCGTCAGGGGAAATTCTTAGCACGTCAACTGTCTCAGAGAAATTGTGTTCCTTCACCTAAAGCTAAATTTCAGGTGGTCACTTTGTTCACAGGGTGTACTCAACTACGACGCCTTTGCAAAGAAGAAATACCTGCTCTGCTTAAGAAGTCGTTACCTTCTGACTGGTTTAGTGGACACATGGTTCAGTGGTTCCCCGGCAAGGACTTAAATCATCCCCCGAAGCGCTGGCTCGAATCTTTATGGATATATTTACGTGATCACTTTAAAGAAGACCTGAGTACGTTTGAAAACCTTCCTTTGATCCCACTGGACTTGTCCAAAGTCCCCATAACGTTAACAAAGTTAACAAACCCATCAAGAGTTGTTGCCAAGAGACTGAAAAATGACCGCCTAGATGGAAAGTTGAGCGAAGTGTTGAACGAACTCGGGGTAATACTCATTAAAGAGTGTCCTACTTTTTTGCTGAGTCATCCAGCCGTTCTGGAAACATTTGTTCATCCACCGCGTGTACATAGCGTTTTAAAGGCTATGGAAGCTTCTTCTTCGTTCTTGGGGGACGGCCCCGGCATGCATTCAGCCATCATGCTAGACAAGGCGAAAGACGAGAGCAAACGCTTCTTGAGAAAATTTATTTCTAAAACACCATCCCTTACCCCGGAGGAAAAGTCTTACGTTTCTTGCCTTCCCATTTTTGAGACACTGACAAAGGGTTTCGTGTCAAAGAGACATGGCTTGGGATCAGCACCAGATGATCCGATTCCAGTAGCTCTAAATGGAGATTTCATTGACGTCAGTGATAAAGATTCCAAGGACATGGCCGGCCTGCTAGAGATCGGAATTCCATCGCTAACTGAATTTGTGTGCGATAAAATTTTTCCTGATGTGGGAAGAAGGTGCTATTCAGAAGAAGACATTGATAAACTTATGTCCTTCGTAATAGAAAGGTATCATGTTCATCTAAAGGCCGATGATAAATTTGAAGAGACCATGAAAGCCCTCCCATTTGTTCCAACCAACAGTGGACGAGTCGTAGCAGAAGGCATCTTTGATCCCAGGGAAGCCCTATTGCAGGACATTTTCGCTGATGAAGATGTGTTTCCTGTTAGAGAACCTTATTTAAACCCTGAATTCCTGGTGATTCTAGAGAAACTTGGCATGAAGAGCGAGAAAGAAATCTCTGTCAATGACCTCCTAAAAAGTGCAAAGAAAGTAACTGAAGTGTCCAACTCTGTTAAAGCGAGGCAAAAATCAGAAGCCATAATGGCTTACTTAGAGAAAAATCCTAGGAAACTCAAGGAAACTTTTTCTGGAAAAGACTTGGGATCACTGCTGTGTGATATAAAATGGGTGTCTGCCCTGAGAGAAAAGCCTCATGGCTTTCCAAAAACCCTACATCTCTGCGGAGAAACTGCCAAAGAAGCCTGTTTCTACAGGCCACCAGAAGTCACAAGTGAAGACAAAGTGAACCTTATTGGAACGGTGATGCCCATTGTTAAAGTACAGAGTCAATTGGCTGAAGATTTCGGCTGGGACAAGATGCCCCGTGCCTCGGACGTCGTGAAGCATTTAAAAACAGTATCACACCATTACACCGAGAATGATAAAGCCCAGTATATTGAAATGGTAAAGGAAATATACTCCTTTCTTGACCAGTCTAAAGACGCTGATGTAGAGGTGGCCATGCAGGAAATTGAGCATTCAAAGTGGATATGGAATGGAGACGGCTTTTCCTCTTCTAAGACCATACTTACTCATAAACCTCCAATTGACCTATTGCCATATATTCGCTCCCTTCCTTCAGAAGTGAAACAATTCTCAAGGCTTTTCACAACGTTTGGCATGCAAGAGCGTTGTGAACCTTTGTCCCTTCTTCAGGTCCTTCACCAGATAAAAGAGAAGTATCTTGATGATGACCGTCGCTTTTCTCACTCAGAAGTAAAGAAAGATTTGCAGATATCGGTTGACATTCTAAATGAGATCAAGCCAGATGTTGGCAAACAGCTGCCTTCACACCTTCAGGAGAAAGTTCTCATACCTACACACGTAGAAGGCGATTCCTGTGTCAGGCTAGTCAAAGTTGAAGATTGCATGTACTGTGAACACGAATGGCTTGAAAGAGGCAACCTTGACGAAGAAGTGGATTATTTGTATGTCCATCCAAATGTCCCAAATAGTACTGCAGAACTTTTACAAGTTCCCACTCTAACTAATCGAATGCTCAAACCCGATGAGATGCAAATAGGAGATGAATTTGGACAAGAAGAGAAATTAACAGACAGACTTCGCCGACTTTTGGAAGAATACACAGATGGATTTTCCGTACTTAAAGAGCTCATTCAAAACGCGGACGATGCCGGTGCTACTGAAGTTAAATTTCTCTACGATAAGAGAAACAATAAAGATGCACAAACCTGTTTGATTGACGAAGGGATGAGAGAATGTCAAGGTCCTGCTTTGTGGGTTTACAACGACGCGGAGTTTCGTGATGAGGATTTTACTAACATTACTAAACTGAATGGACGTACCAAAGAAACCAAAACTGAGAAAATTGGCAAATTTGGACTAGGTTTCAACGCAGTGTATAACCTGACAGACGTTCCAATGTTCCTTAGCAAAAACTATTTTGTCATCTTTGATCCCAGCACCCTCCATCTGGGCAAAGCGATAAGGAACAAAAGCAAACCGGGGATGAAGATCGACGTCAATAAAAACACGAAGAGGCTACGAAATTTCAAGAACCAGTTTAAGCCCTTCAATGGCATTTTCGGATGTGATTTGCTTCTCGAGAAAGAAGACAACTCGTTTAATGGAACACTTTTTCGATTTCCGTTGAGGACGAGACAACAAGCCGCAAAAAGTGAGATAAAAAATCTTCATTATAACGATGAGGAAATGCGTCAGCTGTTGAAAACCTTTTACGAAAGGAGAGACGTTTTGCTTCTGTTCACACAGAACGTAATCCGTGTTGGCCTTTACAGCTTGCCTAGTTCGTCACGTCAAAATCCACAACCAAAAATGTTGTTTCAGGTCACCAAATCCCTAAGAGAAGGTGGAATACTGAGGGAATTGTCCCTTCCTGTCACGTTACCTCATACTGCAAGAAAACTGGAGGCAGAGCATCAGAAGTTATTGGAACAAACTAGTTTTCTTCAAGCGGCGTCCATTGTTAAAAGAAAGGCAAAGGGTTGCAAAGTTTCTCTAAAGGAATCTTGTGTGTCTTCAATTGCTGTGGACGTTGAATGCCACCTCACCAATTGTGGAGCAAGCTTTTTCAAAACTAAGGAGGCCTCACAAGAGTCTTGCACTTGGCTGGTGGTATCCTCAATTGGGAAAGGCGAAGCAATGGAGTTTGCACGAAAAGATCCTAGCCTTGTTCCATCAGCGGGAATAGCTGTTCAGCTGCTAAGGAAAACAGAAAACTTTTTTCTGCCGTCTCCTGTCACAAAGAAAGACAGTGGACTTAATCTAAACGGAATGATTTTCTGTTACCTTCCACTTCCAATGCACAGCGGTCTCCCCGTACACATAAATGGAGCATTTGCAGTGACTTCTAACAGACGTCATTTACAGGAGAAACTTGAAGACGACAAAGATTGCTATGGAGTGAAATGGAACACAAAGCTTATGGAAGATTCGATAACGTCTGCTTACTTTACTTTACTAGAGGATGTAAAGTCAATTGTCCCTGGTGACGGTTCATATGCTTTCCATTCATTATGGCCAAAAGAGTGCGAAGTACAGAAACATTGCTCGCCTGTTCTGACATCATTCTACAAACAACTTGCAACTGGTTCTCACGCACTCTTCTCTGATGGCAATGAATGGTTTTCGGTTAATCAAGTCGTTTTCCTCCATCCCAATCTCCGCTTGGATCCTAAAATTGGAGACATTTCATTTGCTGTTTTTCAACAATGTACCAATGTTATGGACAACGTAGTTGACTTGCCAGCGGAAGTCTTCCATTCGCTTGTTCATTGTAAACAGTGGGGTGTAATAGAGAGCAAGACCTACGACATCGATCGGTTCTTTTGTGAAATTTTCTTCCCTAATATTTCAGCTGTTTCTTCAAAATTGAGAGATGTATTGGTTTTATATGCTTTGGATCAAAACAAAAATGATTTGGACGAACTGTTGAAGAATAATAAATGCATTCCCGTTTCACCGAGTGGGAAAATCCTCAAACTCCCAAAACAGTTAATTAATCCAACCAAACGTGCTTCTACTCTGTTTTGCCAGGAAGATGGAAGGTTTCCATGTAGCAACGATGAATTTCGAAAACCTGGTAGACTGGAAAAGTTAGAAGATCTAGGAATGCTTTCTGATGAACTTCCCTGGGAAGACATTGCAGAAAGAGCAGAAAGTATTCCGGGGTTAAATGCAGTTGACAATAAGGCAGCGGTCAAACGTGTGAGGGCGTGGCTGAAACTCGTAGAAAAGAAGCTAAAGGAAAAGGACAGGGAGAGACCAACGCATTCTGTTCTGAGTCGTCTTCTGGTCGCTCGATTTCTGCCAGTTCTTGAAAAACCGACGTCATTTCCATTGCATTGGAAGGGAAACGAATTTCACGGCAGTCGAAAGGTTCTGGCAGCACCTAAGGACATCTTTTTGGAGGAGAAAAAGTACCAGGTATGTTGCACGGAGCCAATTGTTGGCTTAGCCATTCCAGAAAAAGTTAAAGAGCTGCTCGATTTAGAGGAAAAGGAAATAACTACACATCACGCGATGAAACAACTTGAAGTTGCCTTTTCTACGGAAATCAGCACACTGAATCGTAAAAGTTATGACGAAGTAAGCCGCGTTTGCGCTGAGGCTTATTCCTTTCTACAGGAGAAAATGGTCAGCGGTGCAACTTCTTTTGAGAAATTCTTCACTGAAAAAAGATTCATTCTTGTGGGGAAAACGTTTCTTTCTGCAAACCAAGTGGCTTTCGAAGTTAAGAATGATTGCTCCCCGTACCTACAGCGACTTCCAGATCATTTTCGCGATGAATTTGCTGATTTAATGAAGTTTGCTGGCGTGAGGGAGCATTTCGGAAAAAAAGATTACATTTTTGGTCTCCAAAAAGTGAAAAGAGATTTTGGAGAGATGAAACTGGATGAAAGGGCTCTACAGGTGGCAATCAACATGGCGATTCAACTTTCCGAGACGTTACAAGGATCGAATGACGATGATTCAGAGCCACAGGAAAAGTGGGGCGCTCTTTATCTTCCTGATTTTAGAGGCATAATGCGTGATGTGCATGACCTTTGCTACAAGGACTGCCCTTGGATGCCTGATGATCCAGACGAACTTTCCGTTCATGAGATGATTCCCTGGTCAACCTGTGAGCAACTGGGTGTTAAAACACGCAGGGAGGGGGCTCTGCAACATCACGATGCTGGGTTTCCTTTTGGGCAAAAGGAAGAGCTCACAAATCGATTGAAACGAATTTTGATGGGCTACCCAGGCGAGAAAGAAATTTTAAAAGAGCTTTTACAAAACGCTGATGACGCACAGGCAACTGAGATCTGCTTTATTAAAGACCCCAGACACCACCCTGATGAAAAAGTGTTCAGAGAAAGTTGGAAACCGGTGCAGGGTCCTGCCTTGTGTGTGTACAACAACAAACCATTTACTACGGCTGATATCGAAGGGATTTGCAAGCTTGGCGAAGGCAGCAAGGGAGAAGATCCGAACAAAACTGGTCAATACGGTGTTGGATTTAATGCTGTCTATCACTTAACTGATGTTCCATCATTTATTTCGAAGGGTGAGGAAATTGGTGATGTTTTGTGCGTGTTCGACCCGCACTGCAAATACATTCCCGGTGCAAGTAATGCAAAGCCTGGAAGAATGTTTAAAGGTATTGAAGAGTTAAGGTCAAAGTTTCCAGATGTTTTCCCATGTTACCTCGAGGAGCATTTTCCCTTAGAAAATGCAACCATGTTCAGATTTCCCCTTAAGTCTGAGAAAATGGCGAAAGACTCACTAATATCACAAACCCCGGTCAGTATGGAAAAACTGGAGTTTATGATGAAAGACTTGAAGAAAGAGCTTTTCGAAGTTCTTCTTTTTGCGAACAATGTCAAAAAGATTGGCGTTGCATCGATAGATGAAAGTGGAAACCTCCAAAAAACCTACTGTGTTCAAGTGAGTATGTCAAATGAAGATGAAAGAGAAAGGCAAGCATTCGCTGCCTACATAAATAAGATTGGAAGAGAGACGAAAGAAAAGGCCTTTCTTCCCACGAATATAAAGGCCAAACAGTGTACCTATACACTAACACTGCAAGACAACTTCGGTAAGAAGGAGAAGTGGTTAATCGTCCAACAGGTTGGCTTAGAGAAGCGCGTGAAAGAGAGTATCAACGTTGCCTTTAAGGACGGTAATCTCGGGATGCTTCCTCGGGGTGGTGTGGCTTGCCTTTTAGATTACAACACGGCAGAGGTGAGAGGAAAAAAGAAAGCTTACTGTTTCCTTCCACTTCCATTTGAAACTGACCTGCCTGTTCACATAAATGGTCACTTTGCGTTGGACCACGAGGCCAGACGAAGTTTATGGAGGGATGAAGCTGGAGGTTATAGGAGCGACTGGAACAATGCTTTGTTGTGCGATGTCATTGCTTCCTGTTATCTCACCCTGCTTCACAAAGTGCGTGGATTCCTCCACCTGCCATTTGTTCAAAACCGTGCCACTCGCAATGGCACTTTCAACAGAGGTGAAATCTTAAAGAGATTAACTTCTTACGAAAACCTGTTTCCAGTCTCTCCCATAGAAGAACCTTACTGGAGGACGCTGGTTAATTCAGTATTCCAAGAAATAAACACTAATGGAATCCGCTTGCTTCCGTTAGTGAGACCGGTAAAGACACGATCAAGTAGCCGTGCAAAAGTTTCTGATTCTGAAAAAGTTCAAGTCACTTGGTTGCCGCCCACTGGTGCTGGCAAGGAGCAAGCCTTCTTCAATGATCTCGACGAGAATGGTTGTTTTGCATCATTGCCACCAAAACGTTCCGAAGGCGAGGAAGAACAGAAAAGAAGACAAGAGTACAGAATTGGAACAAAGACCAAATTTGAAGAAACTTTGCTGGAAACTGGTTTCAATCTGCTCGCCTTCTCCTTAAAGGTTTATCATGCATTTAGCAGAGCAGGAGTGCCGGTTCGTTGTATCTCTCCTTTAGCCGTTTTAGACTTCTACAAGTCAATTTGTGATCCAGATCTGCATGGTGATATCGGTGTAATTCCATGTGATGTAAGCAACACGCCATTCAAGGATCAAGGAGGGGTGATTCGTGTCCTAAAGTATTGCAGAGATGATGAGCATTTTTTGGAAAAACTTCCTGATCTCCCATTACTTCTCACCCAAGACAACGTTTTAAGACGGTTCAGCGAAAGTGATCGCCGATGTTTGAGCCAGTATGCAGACATTTTGCCATTAACCCCATCTCTTTTTGTGAACACGGCGGTTCGTAGTGAAGTATTCGGTGCTATTGATTGTGGAGAAATTTCTGTGTTCCAGCCCTTTGATGTCAATTTGTTTGCTTCACAATTAACAAAACATTTGCCTGAAGATATCTATAGGCGATACTATTCCGTAAGGTGGCGTCCTGATAGCCAGGGTGACACTCTGCCTAATCACCGCTGGATTTATAGAGTATGGGAGTTTTTACGTCAATTTACTAACGATGTTATAAAGAAAACAGACGCAGAAAAGGAGAAGAAAACTATATTCATTCGAAACCTCCTGTCGCCACTCTCTAGTTGGAATATTCTTCCAGCAACAGAAATAATCCAGCCAGAAATCCTCCAAAGGCAGCACCCTGTGATGCACAGCGAACAAAAACTTGCAGATCAGATTTTGGTGCCCTTGAAGAAAGCCGAAACTGTTTTAGATTTTACTTACTGCGGTGAATCTAGCACTAGGCTGGTAGAGGCTTTGCGGAATTTGGGCTTGCCAGAGCTTAACAAATCTGTAATGCTAGCCAGGAGTGCTGATTCAGTACCTTACATCAAACCGGAGTCATATGAATTCGCACATAGTCTCGTAGCCACCCTCAAGTCGCCCCATTCTCTTATCCTAGTTCTTAAAGAGAAGCTTGAGATGGATCTTTCTTCTTTTGACGGAAAATTAACGCTTTCAGATGCTATAGGTATTCTCGAATACTTTAGCCGTAACATCGAGAGCCTGGACACGGTTGATCAGGAAACTTTGAGGAAACTGCCATTTTATCCAACAGCAACTGGCAATCTTGCAAAGATCAAAGATAGAAACGTTTTTCTTCTTCCTGGAATCCCCAAGGACGAGATGAATGTTGTTGAATCCAGACTTCATTGTCTGTTTTTGGACCCTCTTACCAGCTTGTCAAAAATTTTTGAGTTTTTACAACTGCAGCATTTACCTCCGGTAGAAGTCTACTTAAAGTTTGTCTTAAAATGTTTTAAGCACCTGTCCGTCAAGGGTAAGTTGGCACATCTCCGATATCTTCGTCAACTCATTTTATTTCCAGTAAAGACAGGAAGTAAGGGTGAGGAGCGTGATGACAGAAGATTGCTTGACTGTTTAACAACAGTGGAATTCATTCCGTCAATAGGCGGTATCATGAAAACCGCATCCAACTTCTACGACCCTGACAACGAAGTTTTCCGTGCAATGTTAACCAAAGACAGGTTTCCTCCAGATCCTTTTGGTTCGGAAGAATGGCTGCCCTTCTTGAAGAAGATAGGTCTGATTGAAGAAGTGTCTGAAGACCAATTTTACAGATTTGCAATCCAAGTTTCACAGGAAGCTGAAATAGCACGAACTGAGGAGACACACAGGAGGTCTGAGGTACTGGTGCGCCACCTCTTCTCTCGGCATAATGTGGTCGAGGAATTTCTTTTGAACCGTGTATGTGACGTTCGCTTTGTTGCAGGAGGCCAAGTCAAAGAATCTCTGCGGTCACTCTGCACACGATTTGGAGATAGCCAAACTCCATTTATCGCATTTAAAGGTGCAGTTGTTAGTGAACATGAGGACATCGTTTGGTCAAAAGCTCCTTTGCTACCAAAGTCAGCAGACCCAAGATTACATCGCTATGAGCTTGCACTTGGCTGTCCTAACAGAAATGTTGACCAGTATCTAAATGATCTCTTCTCCAAACTGAAAATTCTGAAGAAGCCGCCTGTTGATCTTGTTGTTAGTCACTGCAAAACAATCTGCCTCCACCTTGAAAGCAGAGACGATAAAGAAAACGCATCAAACGAACACTTTTCTGCGATAACGCGGGTTATGGAAAGTATATACAAATTTCTACAGGAGAACGCGATCGACGATCTTAGAGCAAAGAGCTCCCTTCAAACTACTCGTTGCATTTTGATTGAAAAGGGCAAGAGATTCATTCTACCAAGTCAAGCAGTCCTTGATCTGTACGAAAAAGATGAGATAAAACCCTTCCTTTATGGAGTGCCGCCAGAATTTGGCAAGTTTCGAGAGCTGTTTGAGTTCCTTGGATGTTCCAAGTATGCACGACCCACCCACTACGCCATGGTCCTCGAGATGTTGCAGAAGGGTTGTAAGGATAGCAGACTTAATCCAAATGAAGTTCGTATATGCTCTAAGGCTGTAAAAGGGTTTTTCGATACGTTGCAGGAAGAAGAAGAGAACATCTCTTTACCCTCTAAATTGTACTTACCAGCCATGCCCCCGGGATGTGCTTCTCCAAATTTTTTTCCCAGTATCATCCCTGTTACTCTCCACCAAGCAACAGATCTTATATTTGATGATTCTCCTACTTACAGCAATCGAATCCGGGGGCTTCAGAAACGTTTTGTGCTTGAGCTAAGCCTGATGAATGTAAGCTGTAAATCAACGATGGTCAACTTTAAAGACCTGATGATGAAATTGCCTTCGGATGTACAGCCTAAGATGCTTTCTTCTGTGGTCAAAGAGAGACTAAGCCGTCCTGAGAAAGCCGTCAAAGTGACAGATGGTGCTGTAAACCAACTGAAACGTCAACTTTCGACTGTGCAGTTTGGTCGAGGAATTGCTAGGATAATAAGAGATGTCAATTCTCATAAAAAGGATTTTAACGAAAGTGTCATTGCAGGCATCGAAAAAGGTCTACGAAGCATTGATCTCTGTGCTGTAAAATTTCTGGAAACATCCCTTTTTTACAATGGAGTTCTGATTCCGGGAAGTACAGCTGAGGTTCCCTCTTTCGAGGAAAAGCTGGTGTTGTCTGACGAAGAGATACGAAGAGTAGTATACATTAATACCAAATCTGGAATGGATGACCCCTTGTCCACCGCATCTTTGGTTACTAACGTAATGGTCGAAATGTACGGGGAGTCTCTGGGAAAGAAGGCATTTGTCATTTCTGATATGTTGCGTTATCCTCCTTCAAAAATTTGGTCACTCCTAGACAGAATGGGGATTCGAAAAGATGACAGCTATGTGGCAGCCGAAATGGATATCTATCCAGAACCAGGAACCCTGATTCCAATCGAGGACCATCATTTGCTTAATGACGCCTTCGAGTTATTTGAGCCGGACGAATACGTAGGCTGTCAGCTGGACGACCCTGGTCTGCACCTGAATTCCACGTTCATCTACGCAATTATCATCGACGAGGTGAGTAATGAGGACGCAGATCTCCTGACGAAGAAGTACAAAATTCACATTGGACACGACAAAGAACCAGCAGTAGTTAAATCTAACAAACTGTATAAATTCCACTGCTTAAATGACATATTTGAACAGCAACTAAATTGTTGCCAAAACAGACAAGAGGTCCTAAATGAGGTCACTGATCTACTAAAGAAATCATGGGAACTGCCACAAGAGGAAAAGCTCCAAATTATCAAGCGTCTTTGTCTACGGTGGCATCCAGAGAAGAATTTAGGCAATGAGGAATTCTACAGAGCAGTTCTCCAGCACATTAAGAAGGAGGTTTCACGGCTTGGAGGTTCTTACGACGACTTGTTTGCTTTTTGTGAAGCACGTGCAAGGGAACATGGCTCACAGCGAAAAGGATACAGAGAACGGTTTTCTGAGAGGTTCGGTTCCTGGGGGTCCTCACCTAGTCACAGATCAAAGAAAAGTGTTCCTCCAAGCCTTTGCGAAAGGAATCCCCAACCTGAAGAAGCCAAGCGATGGTTTAGACAAGCTGAAGCTGACCTCGAGGCTGGTGCAAATGAACTTGCCTTTACCAGCCCTTCCTTTGAGTGGGCATGCTTTAAATGCCATCAGGTAAGAAGCTGAAGGCACTGCGCTAGGAGTAATTATTATGGGCTAAGCATTTGAATCCGCACTTTGGCCTTTTCCTACCTTTCGTATTCATTGTAACAATTGGATCCGCTAATTAAAATTCATGAACGATAAGACAGTTGGTTTTCCTTAATAAAGATAATAAGTACCTTTTCCACACAAATGAAGGGATTTTTCTTTACCAATAGGCAGCTTCCTGCTGCATGTCCAATAGGTGTATACTCGTTTCTTTTCACGTGTTTATAACTGTCCTCGTCCCCCAACAGTGCTTAGTTACCTGTAGCAAACGAAACAATAGACCTGTCTATAGTAGCCCGTTTATAAGTACCGCAGGTTAAAAGCAAAAAAGAAAGCTAGGGAAATGATTTTCTGTATGACACCACAGTTTAGCTGGAAGAGAGGTAATGTGATCATTCGATAAGCTATATGATTCTAAAATTTTTCTTTGTATGTACTCTTTTCTTGCCTTTTTTATGTAGGTGTACATGTCTTGGCTTAATGAAACAAAACACAAGATATAGTTTTGAAACGGAGTTTTATTAAAACCTAAGAAACACGAAATGGATAGCAGAAAATAGTATACCTCACATATTATAAGCATTCACCTAGTCTTCACATTGTAGAATTGGCTTTTCACAAACGATTAAGCAAGTCTTTTCTCTTATTACTTATGGCTAGCTCTGTCGATTCTTGCCAATCAAACTGTTTAGGGATGGTAGAATCACTCTTCATTGCTCGCTTCGACTTAAGATACTCAAATTTTTGGTCAGAACCGCACGAGGTTTGACAGTAAAGTAAACGGCAGTAAGTGGTGTGCTTGTTTTAAAAATATATATTGAGAGAGGCGGGGTAACCAAGCATCCACGTCTGAAAATAATTATCGACCTCGAATCGGCCTGTCATTGGCCATACATCGTCACTACATCGACCCCACATCGCATAACGATTTATGATATTTGCGCGACATCAATTTTGAATATCGAAGCTACACAAGCAGGAACATAACCCATTTTTTCAACTTGTTGAAGGTTTTTATGTGGTAAAGATACCGTACAGATTATATGCGTCAAGTACATAGATTAAAAAGCCTGGAAGGAAAACAGCTCCTTAAAGCCGCAGTATTTTGTAGTTTCGGGTTGAAAGAGATGTTTTGGTATAACTCAATCCATATAATAAGTTATTTAGTTGTTCGAGAAGTGAGAGGACATTTCAGTAAATTTTTTAGCTGGTGATCCCATTGGCCTAGAAAACTGCGCCGTAGCTTAAGTTTACAATCAATAAGTTGAATTTTAAGAGTAAATTTATGTTCCTCTAGGCAGCAGAGAAGGCCCTTAAGGCAGCTCAGTATGGTGTAGACGCAGACAAAATTTATGTCCACAATCTGGTTAGAAACTGCCACAATTTGGGAGACCCTCAGTTGACTGAGTTAGCGGACCAGCTGGAGAGCCTTGTGGGCAACTCGACACGCATGCGCTACCCAGACAGAATGGCCTATCCCAAGATACCGAAGGACGTGTACAATGAAGAGAAAGCAACGAAAGCTTATGAAATAGCTAATAAAATCGTTAGGAAGGTGGGAAACAGACTCACCTGAGGTATGAAACTTTCCTGAGTAACCCTTAAAACTATAAATGTGACTTAAACGTTGTGTTAAAATTTTCATTTCTGCAAGAAGCAACAGAACTGTAGTTGTATAGACATATGTTGTGTTCACAAAATGCTGAGAATGTTATTCCCTTTGCCTACATTACACACGGCTTTGTTACATACCTTAAAAGTGAAACTAAAGGATCCTCATTTACCGGGTCCTTATCTGTTGGCCAAAACCCTGAAATCGACGGTGCGCTCACTTTGCTCAGTCCTCCGTTAAATGGGCATTTAAAACAGCTTTAAACTATTTGGAAAGGAAAGAAGTCGAATAAGGGACAGGAGGTCACCCATGGGAATCGGACTCAGAACCTTTCATTCAGATGGCCATGCACTAACCAACGCTGCCAGCACTTGCTTCTTCGTCAATCGCTGGGTGTCCTAAGACGTAACTCCAGCTCTCGTTAGCTTTCAATACATTCACTATATCCCACGACATTTTCCACGGTCTCATAGAACATAAATTTCGACCAATGAGAACATGAGAAATCGTTTAGTTATTGCAAAAAATATAAAAAGATGTCTAGGGAATGTTGTAAATGATTGAATCACAATCCAGGACAAGAGTGAATGGCAGAAAATGTTGTGGATACCTGGTTCAATTCAACGTTGTATGCGGGGTGGGTGTAGGGAATGGGAGCCGCAAATGTATGGAGTTTTGTTCATAATGGTCTGAAATAAGGTCGAAAAGAAAATCGCCAAAACGCCCCTTTCTCAGAACTGTATAGAGGTGTTTTTCCTCGCTCCTGATGAAAGATCGTCATACACAATTCAGGCAATCCTGTAGACAAAATTCCTTGGGAAAGACATGCAATATTCGTAATTATAGCATGCTTTCTTGAAGCAGCGTTCCTTTTTTCTACAAATGCCTGACAATCCTTCCTCCCCCGCCCTATACAATGCTGAAAGGCACTTTGTGGCACTTTGGTCCATGATTATAGGATGGTTAAAAAATATTACAACATACTATCAACACATACCGGCCTGGTTTATAAATGCTTCGTCACTTGGCAAACGGTTACAAGTAGATAAATGTGGGGAGATGTTGTCAGTCTTTTGCGGGTTGGGTTTGTGGGCCTCTTGGTTACTTGTGTTAGTGGATCGGTAACCCCAGACAACTAGCTATATATAATGACATTTTTGTAGGAAAATGACAACATCCAAATCTTGCTGCTTTATCCAAGACAAAATTAAACATTAATCACTAATAAGACAGCAACACAAGTCACTTTTGTCTTTACTGTCTTATTATTACTGTTTTATATATAATTTACATGTAATGAAGCTAGTCAAAAGGGACTGCAACTGTTTCTTTCATTTCGTCTTCGACAACGCAACAGAGGCCAACACTGTGACATTCCTTCTGCCCATTTCAGATTTTTTACTTATTGCACTATTTTAAGGGGTTACTACAAAAAAATTGCAATAAATTACAAAAGTAAGAGAAATTAAAACAACATTAAATTAGTGAAATCATCAAAGGTGAAATGAAGCTTAGGCTTTCGAGTTGGTCGCTACCACGTGCAACTAACTGGCGTAGACATTTAAATAACGTATAACAGAGACAGTAAAAATATAAGTGCATATATACTTACAATTTTATATAAAAACAATAGAATAGAATAGTCTACAAATTGCACTTGTTTTAATTTAAGCTGAAAGTTGTGTTTGTTAACCTTTTAATTTTATCCCTTGTTTCTTTAGACAAAGAAGAGAAAATTTAAAAGGACCGAGGCCATTTTTAGACATTTAGCTGATTCGGCCCCGTCGTCTTCCAGTCTCCTACCAACAACAGAATTAATGGGAGCGCGAGGGATGGTGGGAAGGAGGAATTTTTTGAGCTGATACGTACGGAAAAGTAACTTGATTAGGAATCATGTTTATACTTTGTTAACTTAGTTCCCCATTATTACAAACAAAATATTAAGCTTCTGATGCACTTTCCGATCGGCAAGCCTATAATCGAAAGGCAAAATTACGTTCAATAATCTTGAAACTATTGTTTCATATATTTGCTTTTATCTGGGATTTCCATTTTCAAATGGAAGAAAGTATCAGTTATCAAAAGCACTACATTGCTCGGTTGCAAAAATGTAAATGAGACATACAGTCTCTGTAAAATTTCGAGGAATTTGAAAACAAATTCTCCGAAACCATTCAGATCTCAGGATAACTTTTTAGAGATTACTAACCTAACAATAACCAGGGATTGTGTTTTACAGTGCGACCGGGAAAGCTTGAAATATGTCAGGAATGTTTATTGTGTTATGACCAATCACAGCAAAGATCAGGATATGTGAACTGGCCACAAAACTACAAACTAATCAACGGTCATGCTTACGGTTTAGCTTTCTCATGATTGATTGGCTTTTCTATTGCATGACAATAACATTCCAGAATATTTCTTATGTTCACGGTTTTCCCGGTTTGACTGTAATTTCTTGATAAGAAAATGCACATTTTACAGTGCGACTACTTTAACCGGCGCCACCTAGACAAAGTTAACCAGTCGGATTACAGGAAAGTAACAATATATTCCGAGAAGTCAAGAATAATTACCACGAAACAAAATAAACTAAATGGATCGAAATCAACCAATGACAACGTACAGACATGACCTTTTGAGCCTGCAAAAGAAAGCAAGTGCTTCCCGAGAGATCCGTTAGATCGAGAGACTGAAGCGAAAAACTTCAGCGATAGTTATATTTTTGACTTGCGGTGGCATGTTATTGCAAAGCGCGGCAATAGTAGCGAAAGGAATAGCTGGTACAATGTACATGACAAAATAACAGCTTGTGTCAAAGAAATATGTCTCATGGGTGTGTATGCAAAGTTTTGAGTGTATGCAAAGCGTCTGGTGAAACATTTGCTTTCATGAAAAACGTTGGCTATCAATATTGCATTTTTTTCTCGAGCTGCTGATGATTGGCTGAGAACTAACTTTCTTGGAATGTATTCTTATTTTCCTATTATCCGACTGGTCAACATTGTCTAAGTGGCCCCTGTCATAGTAGTCGCACCGTAATAATGAGAAATTAAACGAAGATTCGTCTACAGATTCAGTCGACATCCCTTTTTAATCTTTGGGTTCATTTTCTTGCTTCTCGGTACATCGGTTTTATCGCATGTACGAAACGTCATTTTGACGAGGAAAGTTAGAATATCCACGATCATTTAAAAGGGACAAACCATATTGTAATCGTTTTAATAGATTTTCGTCATTGAACATTGCAAGCAGAGTAGTGGACCGTGATCGCTACCAAAGGTTAAACTAAGTTGTGAGAGAAGGACCTTTCTTTTTGGTGGCGCGAAAATTTTTAATGAAGACATAATTTAACACAGCAAAT